TGGGATTTAACTTGACTCATACGCATCACATCACCATCCTAGTGAGGGTCTGGGATTATATATATGCACATCAACCGTCCCACAGATCCAACCTTCTGTGGACTGGAGCATTAATGTTCTGCTCTCTGTGACGTCACACGACAGGAAAGGGACGTAGGGATGGGGGGACGAGTATGGAGGGCGAGGTCGTGTGGTGCTACAGGTAAGGGCCTATTTCTGTGGAACTCACCTGAGATTTTCAGTCAGAACTGAATGGGCTGCTGAGAAGGTCTCACTGTAATCTGTGAGCCCAACATGCTTTGAGTTCCATTGATCTCTCACACCCAGTTCTGTGGAAATCACCTGAAACTCGTCAGGCAGCTTTCAGAGCAGGTTTGCACAGAGTTCTGCATCTTGGGTCATGTTTTTGAGCAGAGTAGAAAACTTTCTCCTTACATGCCACTGATGAGAACCCAGATTGTTTCCTTTTCTACAACACGAGTCCTGATGCTTTAGGTACAGAACAGTGTAGAATTAACACGCGGCCTCTTCACTTCAACCTTCACCAGGAAGCAGCGTCATGGTTGCCTCCACTGCAAAATTAGATTTTCCACATTTTTGCCACTATGTATCAGTCCTGGAGAGAAACCAGTGAAGCTGCATGAAGCCTCCATCTTTCCTGAGCAAGCAGACGTTACCAGTAGAGGGTTAGGGTTAGTCTACATCTCCAGTCTACATCTCCAGTCTACGTCTCCAGTCTATATCTCCAGTCTATATCTCCAGTCTACATCTCCAGTCTATATCTACAGTCTATATCTCCAGTCTACGTCTCCAGTCTACGTCTCCAGTCTATATCTCCAGTCTACGTCTCCAGTCTATATCTCCAGTCTATATCTCCAGTCTACATCTCCAGTCTATATCTACAGTCTACATCTCCAGTCTATATCTCCAGTCTACGTCTCCAGTCTACATCTCCAGTCCAAGGTCCGGTGTGCTCCAATGGTTAGGCGGGTTCCTGGTCAAACGGCTCAGCTGCTTCCTTTGTGCTGTCGAGTTCTCCAGGATTCAACTGATTATCAAGTGAACTTCTGACTCGTGTTTTCCTCTGATTTCAGCTGTAGGTCAAGATGTGCACAGAAGAGAATCTTATTGATATCTTGGATGACCTGCCAGATGACAATTTCAACACCTTCGTTTGGCATCTGAAGAAGGAAACCTGGAATGGGATCCAACCGATCAAAAGCAGCCGGCTGCAGAAGGCGGACAGGATGGACGTCGTGGACCTGATGGTGCAGACGTACCAAATGGATGGAGCTGCACAAGTCATGATGAATATGTTGAAGAAGATCAACAGGAATGACCTGGTGAAGAAGCTGGCAGATCTGTGTCCTGCAGCTGCAGCTCAAGGTCAGTAACAGAACCTCAGGTCAGATTAAAGTATCGGGTCCTCCAGAACCACACGAACCCTCTCAACCCAAAACTCACCACAATTTTTAAAGTCAGCTCCAGATTGCAGAAGTTTGGTCAGTTTAATTTTGTAGTTATTTTGTTACAATTTCTTTGCTGTTATTTTGTGTTTTTAATCTTGTACAATATTCTTGGATTATTATGACCTTCATAGTTTGAGCCAGTCATAGAAGTCAGGGTTTGTTGTAGTGACCAGGTTGTTACAGTTTCAGTCCATCATCAGCATCCTGACATCAGTTTTTGACTCGTTTTCCAGCTGCGTCTTCAAGCTCCCAGGCCGACCCGGTTGAGGTTCTGCTTTCGGTGAGAACAAAGCTTGTAGGGAAAATCTCCAAGCAGGTTCTGCAGCAGATTCTGGACAAACTGCTGGAGAACAAGATCATGAACGACTGTGAGCTCGAGTTCGATGTTCAGACCCAGGGGGAAAAAGTCCGGGCCGTGGTCGACATGGTCCGTAAAAAGGGCCCCAAGGCCAGCTCGGCTTTCATCGCCGCGCTGTGTGAGCTGGACCCGTGTCTGGCAGAAGATCTGAAGCTCAAGTAGAAGACAGCAGAACCAGCCGGTTCCAGAGACCCAGACCCTCTGACCCAAACCTCTGATAGTTAGAGTCTTTCATCAGCTCCAGTAAGTTACAGAAACATGTTTGATCCTCTGGTTCGCAGAACCAACAGGAAGTCCAATCAGAACCACATGATGTCCTGAAACACACTAAAAAGGAAAGTTTCACATTAAATCACCAGAAACATCTGATGGTACCAGAAACATCTGATGGTACCAGAAACATCTGATGGTACCAGAAACATCTGATGGTACCATGCACAGAAACAGACGGACCCTTGATCTGCCTCCAGTGCAGCTGGATGAGATCTGATTGGATGAAATTCACCTGAAGACACTTCCTGATTGGTTTGTCTCACTAGGACCATTTCATATGAAACCAAACATAAAACTTAAAATAAAAAATGTTTTTGCTGAACACAATGTCATCGATGAGTTAACAGTCTGATGATGAAGAAGCCCGCCGGTTCTGTTGATCCCGCCGGTTCTGTTGATCCCGCCGGTTCTGTTGATCCTGCCGGTTCTGTTGATCCCGCCGGTTCTGTTGATCCCGCGGGTCCGACAGGTCCAGCATGCGAGTGTTCTGTCATTGTCTCTGTAACTGCAGCTGATCACTGATTCTAATAAAACATTTGGACTCGGAGTCTCTGCTGGTTCTTCTGCAACATCAACAACCTGAACCTGTCTGGCCTCTGCTGGTCAGTCTGGTTCTGGCTGAGTTTGGTTTATTACATAAGCACTGACCCAGTAGAACCAACACTGGGACAGAACCAGAACTAGATCAAAACTTGGTCAAGTTCATAGTCCTGGTTCTGATCCGGTTTGGTCTTCAGGGAGTTCAGGCGTTCAAACCTCTGATTAAGATCCACCAAGTATTTGCTGGACCACCTGGTTCTGGTTCTACACAACCCGGTTCTGGTTCTACATCCCCTACACCAGCCAGAAAAAGAAAGGGAGCTACACAAATAAACTTTGACTGATTGATCATCATCATCATCATCATTCTCCGGGACTTCCGGCCCTCCTGGCAGCACCTGAACGCATCTCCTGTCCAGTTACCAGAGGGTTCTGGGTTCTGCTTTCGACCCGGAAGTGCTCGTCCTACGCACGCACACGCATCAAGGACGCTCTCTTCATCATTACCGCACACACCGGACACTCAGCACGCAGAGCGGCGTGGACCGAACCGAACCGGAGCGGGACCGCAACATGACCCTGCAGCTGCCGCCTTGCGTGATAGACTGCGGGACCGGGTGAGGACACGCGCACGAGGACAGAGCGACATCACGAGAGACATTAATGCGGGTTAGGTTCCGTTAAAGGGACAGTGACCGAATCAGCTGCTAGTGACGTCATTACAACAACAACAAGCTCATTGGTTCACACTGTTTGGCCAGGACTGGTTCTGCTGGGTCGGTACCGCAGAATATTCCGAGTATTCAGTTTATTCATTCATAATAAATTCCATAATAACATGATATTCCAGATCATAGCTGCAAAGTGAGTGAATGAATCAGTGAACATGAAATTCATCCATTTTTACTAACCTTCATTCCTCATTCTATCTCTACAACGCAGGCAGACCGACAATTGATCACAAATGGATTAATAAAACAATTTCAGCTTTTTTTAAGTGGAGATGAGTTTCAAGCTTTGGACCCTCCAAGCAAAAGTTTTTCTGGTAATAATTTTTTGAACCATATCTAAGCGCTGAGGCTTCTGATTGGAGCAAACTGTCAATTTATGAATCTGATTAGTTTTGTTCACATTCTGGGTCACATTTGTTTCAGTTAACTGGAGGAAAGCGAAGCGATGGGATGGATGGGAGGTTAAACTGGGACCAGAATCGGCTCTCCTCTTCTTTTGAAGGAGATTCCTGATAACATTCCACTAATTAATATGCGGCTCAAGAGTTTTATAAATAGTAGCTTAAAATACTTCCGGCCAATTTCAGAACTCGTCTATGAAGACCCCAGGAACCTTGGAGAACTCTCATTATTTCCTCATTTCCAATTTTAAGATTTATATGATCAGTGAATGATAAACATTTATTCACTCTCAAAATAAAATTAGTTTGCTGGTGTTAGGAGAAACTAAACCAGGTATTTATTTTCTACTTTTCTACATTTACTATTTCCTGTAGTTCATTTAGATTTGCATGTGAAAAAACAAGTTTGTATCATCAGTAAAATAAGTTTATGAAATATTTTAGAAGAGTTTACAAAGTCATGAATATAAATAGTGAAGAGCTCATGTTTAGGTGATTAATAAGCAGGTGTAACTGAGCCAGAACTGATAAAGGGTCGCAGGTTGTTCAGTTTCCCTTCTTTCTTCCTGATTCTCTATCATCTGTGCATTTGTCAGACTGCCTGCAGAGCTGCAGGTGTTGGGTCCTCTCTGACCGCCCTGCTGACTTCCTGTGGCCCTCCTCCCTCATGTTTGTTCTCTCTAGCAGAAGCTCTAGACCTCCAGTCAGCCATATTGGGCTGTTCTTTGTCATGAGATGTACACTGTCAGCTCTGAGAGACTGCTCCAATGTTTGTAATTGAACTTCTGTGTTCAATCACTAATCCTCCACAAGGGGGCGCTGTCTGGTTGGATTCTTTGATGGATGTTTTCTCACCATCACTCTCAGTCATGTTTTGAACAGATCACCACTGATGCTGTACTGAATACACGGCCTACCGAGATAAACCAGAACCAGCAGGAGTTTGGACCTGTGTTAAAGGGAGAGTACATATTTTCTCACCCGATCCTGTTTGTTTTTCTGCTTCACCCACAGCTCTAAAGATCTTTATTTTTTTGTAAAGAAATGAAAACTGACCTTCATAAAAAATTCTAAGGTCAATGAAATTTCAACACTGCTGGATTCACTGAGAGACATGGTGCGTTCAGGTGCCGTCAGTCAGTCACTGACACATAGACAAGGCAGTGAGGCCTGACTTATTTGAAAAAAAAGACAAAATATTTTTCATCTATCATTTTATTAAGTTTGACATTAAAACTTGACACTCATTGTTGATTTCAGCTGTTCTCTATATAATAATGCATTAAAATTCTACAGACAGAGAAAACACATGACTTACTGAACTAAAGGTTGCATAGAGAAAGAAACGGTTTCTATTGGCCTTTTCAGTTTCAACACATGATTCATAACTACAGCGTTGGCCCTCTATCTTCATCACTTGAACCTCAGGCGTCTTCCTCATATGGGCTCCTCTTCCTCCATATAAAAGTTGGTTTATGTTCGTGATGGGGATGAAGAAAAGCCGAGATGTTCTTTTGAAGCGGACTACCCCTTTATGCACACACACTTTTATTGTGAAAAACCGAGTCTTATTTTGTCATCAACCGGAAGTGATGTCACCGTCAACAAACCGATTCACCGGTTGCGTTTTCGCCGTAATAAACCGACGCTTCTTGTTTCTCTTCAATGAGTCCGTCTGGGCTTTTCCGAACCGGCAACGAACCTAAATCATGTTCCCGCCATCGCCTCGGCTCCAACCTGGCGAGCGGAAGTCGAAGCGTTCCCGCGCAAATGATCATGAGGAAGAGGAAGAGGAAGGTCGGACAGAGATGAGTGAGAGCGGGACTCAGGTGAGCTTGTGACGCGGACAGGTGACCTGGTTGTGGTGGTCGACATCGCTCCATAACCGAGTTTAGAGTCCAGACTTTTAACACCGGAACTGTCTGTTGGGTTTTCAAAATGAAATCCCAGCTCCGGTTAGTTGTACATCAACTGGCACAGAAAAAATCTACAGCTGTGCAAAACCCCCCCAAAACTTACTAAATATTTGTTTCATCTCAGATTACTTTAAGATTGATATTAAAACTTGGTATGGAGTTTTAATGGACTTTCACAGTAAAAGTCCAGTTCAGGTTCAGCCCTAAGGCTTTTCAAAGTAAAAGTTCATCTCAAGTTTGGTGGTAGTGTCCTTTCATCAGTGGTTCAGTCTATATCCTGGTGTTGGTTCAGTCTATATCCTGGTGTTGGTTCAGTCTATATCCTGGTGTTGGTTCAGTCTATATCCTGGTGTTGGTTCAGTCTATATCCTGGTGTTGGTTCAGTCTATATCCTAGTGTTAGTTCAGTATATTACCTGGTGTTGGTTCAGTCTATATCCTGGTGTTGGTTCAGTCTATATCCTGGTGTTGGTTCAGTCTATATCCTGGTGGTGGTTCAGTCTATATCCTGGTGTTAGTTCAGTCTATAACCTGGTGTTGGTTCAGTCTATATCCTGGTGTTGGTTCAGTCTATATCCTGGTGTTAGTTCAGTCTATATCCTGGTGTTAGTTCAGTATATTACCTGGTGTTGGTTCAGTCTATATCCTGGTGTTGGTTCAGTCTATATCCTGGTGTTGGTTCAGTCTATATCCTAGTGTTAGTTCAGTATATTACCTGGTGTTGGTTCAGTCTATATCCTGGTGTTGGTTCAGTCTATATCCTGGTGTTGGTTCAGTCTATATCCTGGTGGTGGTTCAGTCTATATCCTGGTGTTAGTTCAGTCTATAACCTGGTGTTGGTTCAGTCTATATCCTGGTGTTGGTTCAGTCTATATCCTGGTGGTAGTTCAGTCTATAACCTGGTGTTGGTTCAGTCTATATCCTGGTGGTAGTTCAGTCTATATCCTGGTGTTGGTTCAGTCTATATCCTGGTGGTAGTTCAGTCTATATCCTGGTGTTGGTTCAGTCTATAACCTGGTGTTGGTTCAGTCTATATCCTGGTGTTGGTTCAGTCTATAACCTGGTGTTGGTTCAGTCTATATCCTGGTGGTAGTTCAGTCTATATCCTGGTGGTATTTCAGTCTATATCCTGGTGTTGGTTCAGTCTATATCCTGGTGGTATTTCAGTCTATATCCTGGTGTTGGTTCAGTCTATATCCTGGTGGTAGTTCAGTCTATATCCTGGTGTTGTTTCAGTCTATATCCTGGTGTTGTTTCAGTCTATAACCTGGTGTTGTTTCAGTCTATAACCTGGTGTTGGTTCAGTCTATATCCTGGTGTTGGTTCAGTCTATATCCTGGTGTTGGTTCAGTCTATATCCTGGTGTTAGTTCAGTCTATAACCTGGTGTTGGTTCAATCTATATCCTGATGTTGGTTCAGTCTATATCCTGGTGGTAGTTCAGTCTATATCCTGGTGGTAGTTCAGACTATATCCTGGTAGTGGTTCAGTCTATATCCTGGTGTTGGTTCAGTCTATATCTTGGTGTTGGTACAGTCTATATCCTGGTGTTGGTTCAGTCTATATCCTGGTGTTAGTTCAGTCTATAACCTGGTGTTGGTTCAGTCTATATCCTGGTGTTGGTTCAGTCTATATCCTGTTGTTGGTTCAGTGCATATCCTGGTGTTGGTTCAGTCTATATCCTGGTGGTAGTTCAGTCTATATCCTGGTGGTAGTTCAGTCTATATCCTGGTGGTGGTTCAGTCTATATCCTGGTGTTGGTTCAGTCTATATCCTGGTGTTGGTTCAGTGCATATCCTGGTGTTGGTTCAGTCTATATCCTGGTGTTAGTTCAATCCATATCCTGGTGTTGGTTCAGTCTATATCCTGGTGTTGGTTCAATCCATATCCTGGTGTTGGTTCAGTCTATATCCTGGTGTTGGTTCAGTCTATATCCTGGTGTTAGTTCAATCCATATCCTGGTGTTGGTTCAGTCTATATCCTGGTGTTGGTTCAGTCTATATCCTGGTGTTGGTTCAGTCTATATCCTGGTGTTGGTTCAGTCTATATCCTGGTGTTGGTTCAATCCATATCCTGGTGGTGGTTCAGTCCATATCCTGGTGTTGGTTCAGTCTATATCCTGGTGTTGGTTCAGTCTATATCCTGGTGTTGGTTCAGTCTATATCCTGGTGTTAGTTCAATCCATATCCTGGTGTTGGTTCAGTCTATATCCTGGTGTTAGTTCAATCCATATCCTGGTGTTGGTTCAGTCTATATCCTGGTGTTGGTTCAGTCTATATCCTGGTGTTGGTTCAGTCCATATCCTGGTGTTGGTTCAGTCCATATCCTGGTGTTGGTTCAGTCTATATCCTGGTGTTAGTTCAGTGTATATCCCTGCAGCTGTTTGCCCGTCTCGAGGCCCGGCGCTGTCTGAAGGACGTTGAGCCTCGGCTGTTTGCTGATGATGGAGGACCTGACCGTGGTATGTCACTCCACCCACTACTTCTCAGCTGACCAGTGATCAGGTTGTTTCTGACTGTGTGTCTGACTCTGGCAGGGGAGGTGGTGGAGGTGTACGGTCCGGAGGGGACAGGTAAGGTTTCATTGGTTCCATGGGTCCATGCCCTGACCCACTTAAGACCTGTGTTCGGGTGTCTCCAGGAAAGACGGAGCTGCTCTACCACCTGCTGTGTCGCTGCATCCTGCCGGAGGCGGCTGGCGGTCTGGAGGTGGACGTTGTCTTTGTGGACACAGACTACAGTCTGGACGTGTTCCGGCTGGCCAGTGTTCTGGACAGTCGACTGAGTGCAGGTGAAGCTAACGACATCTATAGGGTTTGAAGACTTCAGATGAGCTTACTAGAACATGACTGGTTCCTTTCTCACAGTGGTTCTGCCGGGTTTGATGATGCGATTCTGCGCTCCTGTCTGACTCGCCTCCTGGTGGTCCGCTGCTCCTCCTCCTCCCAACTCCTTCTCACCCTTCATTTTCTGGAGACCACCTTGTCTTCTCGACCCAGAGCATCGCTCCTTCTCATTGACAGCATATCGGCGTTCTATTGGTCGGATCGCAGTGAGGGCGGAGCCAGCGTTGCCAAGCAGGAGGAGAAGCTCAGCAGGTGTTCGGAGCTGCTGGGACGACTGCTCAGGTGGATCCTTCAAGTGGGTTCTAAATGGTCTGTAGAGGGTTGACCTCTGACGGACTGTCTGAAGAGTCTACCTGTCCATCTAAGCTTGTACACTGAGGGTGGGGGGTTTGATTTAGTTCTGGGTCATGAGGAGCTTCCAGTGGGTGGGGGGAAGGTCTTGGTGGTGCAGAGGTGAAGCATAGGACATGGACTAAGGCCAGTCCTGCCCTCTCATTACTGACTGTCCTGTCAATTCACTTTCAGATAAAGGCTAAAGGTTTTAGAGCCAATGAAACCTAAAACAAGATGCTCAGAGGAAGGTTCTTCAGCAGGTCCAACTGGATACACAGAAAGTTCTTGTGTCTTTTAAAAGGCCTGAACAAATTGTGCAAGAACTGAGATGTTCGATGGAAAGTTCTTCCCAGGAGATGTTGTGACCAGAGAACAGTCCTCTGGTTCATTTGGTCTTTAGCAGGACTGACCCGTTCACATCCAGTAGAGTCCAGTCCAATTGCAGTACATCAGTAGCAACTTTGATCAGAAAACTCAGATCAGTGGCCCTGTCCTTTGATGTTGACCCAGGTTCATGGTTCTGGAGCTCAGTCCATGACCCGAGGATCCAATGTTCAGTACTGGATCAAGGACCCAATCCAGATGTTCTCCAGACCAGGAACTGCTCCATCCAATCAGCCCCAGTAAAATAACACAGTTCTCCGTTCTTGAGGAGGATGTCCAAGCATTAGAGTTCAAAGTTGCATTGGTCCATCATGTGGTTCTGATGCTGTGGATTAACAGCTGATGTCCTGTTCTGTGGTTGTTCCTCAGGGATTACAAAATCACCATCTTTGCAACCTGCCACCCCATCAGGAGGAGTTCTAGTGGGCCACCCTCCTCCTCAGAGGCAGACCGGTCCCATCTCTGCCGTGCCTGGCAGCGTCTGGTGACCCACCGGCTGGTTTGCTCCAGACAGGAAGCTGAACATAACCCAGCAAATGGAGACGAAGGGAGCGGAGAGCAGAGGAACCGACAGGTCTTCACCGTCCACTGCTCCTCCTGGACTGGGACCAAGAGTTCCAGGGTCAGCTCCTTCAGAGTGACGGATGGTGGCGTGGAGTTCATCTGGACCCAGAGACCTCCTCCTGGTCTTTCTGCTATACTTTAAAGACTCACTGTTGATGTTTGTAACTTAATTATGATGACATGTTGGAATTGAATAAAACCAGAGATGGATTAGAATCTGGATCATCAGTTGTTTGGTTTTACCGGTAGAAATATCAATAGAGATGACTAGAAATAATCAGGAAGTAGAGATAATCAGAAGCAGTTTTCACAATTTGTTTCACTGATGAAGAGAAACAAATACTAAACCATGGATCCAGAAGTAATCATACCCTGGTAAAATGATTAAACCACATCGTCAGTACCCGCTTATTACCTGGGTACTATCCAGTAATAATCAGGCTAGGGTAGGAACTCTCTGGTTAACACCTGGTTAGTAGTCTGCTTTTTAACCTGCCACCCTACTTTGTAACTGATAGTTTTATTTTCCATCTAATCAAGTGAAAATGATTTCCTTGTTGCTGAAAATGTGCCGTGTTAATAAAACTGTCTGGTTCAACATCAAGCAGGAACATATCCACCCATCAGTACTGGACCTGAACCCAGTCACTTCCTGGTTCTGGAGCTGGACAGCGAGCTCTCACAGTACTGATTCTGCAGAATCAGACGTGCAAAGTCCAAAATCTTGGATTCGGTGGTCTGGATCACTGGACAGTTGTCCACAGCCAGGTAACCATCAGCTGAGCGGGTTCTACAGAGTTCATTAAGTTCTCCTGGAGGAATCCTGTTGAAACAAGAACTGAACCGCATGATCTAGAACGTTCCTTCTGGACGGATCTGTCCAGTTCCTGTGTTGCGTTTACTGCACGTGCAACTGCAGTCCTGATCTCCCCCGCTTCCGATCCGGTCCAGGTTTCCCTGGTCTGATGACAGCAGCCGCATAACAGGAGCAGCCCCCCAACAGATTCCTCCGCGGGGTCACACACACTTTTTACACAACACAAACAAACCAGGCGGTTACGACAGAAAGCTGGACCTCACGACACGCAGCTGGGCCATAGTCTGGTGGAAGGCTACCCTCATCCGGGCGCTGGTTCCAGGACAGAGCGGCCACCTGGTGGAGCTGTAGGCAGGTTTTCTGGGATCTACTTCTCCTGCTGGGGCTGACAGGCGGTGCTTCGGTCGCTCCCAAACATGGCCTCCATGACGGTGCGACCACTTCAAGTTTGATTTCTCACTAATTATCTGCGTCCAAACTGCGTGTTTTTCCTTCTACAGCTCACGGGAATGTTTCCACGGAGCAGCTCTGTACGGCAGACACCAGAAGCAGATGTTTTCTGTCGCAGAAGTTCGGTGCTGATCACGTCGCTCTAAGTTGACTGAAAACTGGAGAGGAAAAGGAGAACCGCGTCAAATCAGTAAGCAGCTTGTCTCGGTCCTCCTTCCGCCGCTAACTCGCCCCGAACCGGGGGCCAAGGCCGGCTGTCCGCGCTCCCTGCCCTGCTGTCAGTAGCCTGCACCGCGCGACAGACAGCCGAGGAGCTAATGCTAATGCTAACAGCGAAGTGAACGGGGAGGCTACATGCTAACGGCTACACCGACTGTCATTAGCAGCTTGAGTCCGGGCATCCAGACAGGCTTACCAGGCTGATGCGGTGTGGGAGGCCGCCTACCGGTCTCCCAAAGCCGGCTACTATTAGCCGGCTCCAGTCCTCTGACAGATGGGTGTGTTAGCATGGAGCTAGTTGATTAGCCACATAGTTATGGCTCACCTGACCAGGACTCACCTGTTCGAAAGGGCCTCCCTGACCTCTGATCGGTACCAGCTCGTCAGATGGAGATACACAGGTCGTTCCTGGTTCTGAAGGGTCCATTGCTGTCTCAGGTAGAGGTTCTGGTGTCGTTCTATATCGTTCTGATGTTCTCAGTTGTTCTCTAAGGTTCCACTGGGTCCTACAGGATTTACATGGTTGATTTTAAGTTCTCTAAGGGTCCAACCTTGGATCTAAGATGGGTCAGATACTGTAGACTTGAGTTGTGGGGTAGAATCTTTGTGGTTCCGATGGATTGGCTGTAGTCCACTGGAGGTTCTGAGGTTCCTTGGTGTTCAGGTCCAACACTCTGGTTCTGAGGCAGGGTTCCTCCAGCGATCCTAGAGGGTCTTCTGCTGCAGTAGTTAGAGGTTTAAGATGTATTTGATGGCTCTGGTCCACTGCTTGTTGACTGTAGATGAAAGTATAGTAACAGGTGCAGATGATCCACCTGGTTCATCTGCACCTGTGCAGAGATGAAATTATGTAGAAATTTTCTGAACTCAATAGGAGTAGCTCCTGGTTCGTCTATCAAAAACCAGAAATACTCCTGGTTCTTGATAGAAGAAATGAAAATAGCCAGAAGATTAAAAAACTTCAAAGAGCTGTAGAAAAACAAACCAAAATCGACCAAAACACAATGAACTAGAAAATTACAAAAAATAACAACTAAAAAGACATATCTAGTGCAGCTTCTGAAATTGATTGAAAGAATACAGCAAACCTCAGCTGATGGGAGCCATTAGGTCCAACCAGTAGCAGATGTTGGGTTGGTGATCTGGGTTTGAGTAATCAAAGTTTCTCCCTCACAACAGAACCCACCCAGACATTCCTTGATGTGCAGTTTATCGCTGGCTGTGCTTCCCTTTCCCATAAAATTGCACTTGGAATAGCAAATGAGGTAATTTTTCAACCATTTAAAATAGGTGTATGTTGTAAAACTGCAATTAATCGCAACATCAGTTTGTACCCAGTACTTTTGTCACTCTGGCCTCCTGGAATGACGCCCAGCTTTCTCCAGTAGAACTCTCACAGCATCAGTTCATCAAAAGCAGATCAAGCCAACACGTTGACTCCATGGCTCTTCTGTTAAATCACTGACTACTTCCCCAAAACGCCTCATATATAGCTTCCCCTTAGTAGGCGGGCTTGTCGCTCCACCGCCTGAATAAGACGCAGACCTCTCTTCTGACCGGCTGATAGATGATGAGCGCCATGGCTGAATTATTAGTTTATAATTATGTTTATCCGTTCCTGCCATGATTTTTGAGGACTTATGGTGTGAACAAATGTATTCAAGCGTGATTTTCAGTGGATTTCTTATTTAAAGGAAACAATGCAGTAGGGCAGTTTTATTTTTCTACATTATCTGAACATAGATTTGAGCACATTTATAATGGAAACCCAGTTCGCATCCCAGTTGCTCCATCTGTTGATGGACCATGGATGAAAAGATAGATTAATGGATGGATGGGCGGTGGTTAAACAGATGGATGGATGGATGATGGATGGTTGTGGTTCTGCCTTCACAGTGCTTGAATTGGTCAGACAGTAGAACCAGTACATGTCCCATCTCACCAGAACCTCTCAGTGGTTCAGTCAGCATTAAACAAGAGTTCTGATATTAAAGCAACAAGTTGTCGAACTGAAAGAGATGAAATTATGTAGAAATAAACTTAGAGACTGAAATTTTCTGAACTCAATAAGTAAAATAACAGAAAAAAAAAACATTAGTCGTGTGATTCTGCAAATATCCCACCTCTGCTTGGTTGGCTGCTACGAGCTGGCACCTGCAGATCTTTGATCTTCAGTTAGATGTGTTGGTGTGAACCATTTTTGCTCCCAGACTCCTTATCTCATAAGCTTAGTGTGGTGTCTTCTTGTGGTCAGGGTGGAGTCATGTAAGGTAACAGAAAACTTAACCCTTGTCTGTCTGCTTGCACCTAGAATGCCCTCTGAGGCTCAGGAGCCTCGGGACAGAGGACCCCCACCTCCCCTGACGCGGGCTGGACGCAGCGCTCAGCTGGCCAAAGCTGCAGCCACGAGCCGCCCCTGAGAAGCGACCCCGCGGGCGACCTCGGAAGGATGGGAACCACAGCCGCCCAGCGCCTCCTGCTCCTTCCTTCACCCAAATCTAAGAAGAAGTAAGAGCACCACTAATGATAAATGGCAAATGGCCTGTCAAATGGAGATACCTGGTTGGTACTGGGATTAGTATAGTGCTTTATCCATGTCCAGAGAACCCAAAGAGCTTCACACTATTTTCAACCATTCACACACATGTTCACACACTAATGGTCTCAAACTACTGGACAATTGCCACAACTGTTGTCTAGTACAACAGCAATTGGGAGTGTGACCCAACTCCATCAGTATTGGGTCACACTGATGGAGGCAAGGCTGCCATGCACCAGTACCACTGTGGCCTCGGACCAGCAGGCAAGGGTGAAGTGTCTTGCCCTAGGACAGTGCTTCTCAAATAGTGGGGCGGGCCCCCTTTGGGGGGCGCGGTGCGATACCTGGGGGGGCGTGTGATCCTGGGGAACAGGCTTTTTTTTGGCCGTACTAGTATAAAGTGTAATTGCGCACAGTAGGCGGCAGTGGCGCTCTCATTGTTACTTCTGTCACGTTTGCGACAGTGCAACATTTTACGACTTACAAGACAACAGGTTTTCCTTGGTTAGCAGTGTTAAGTCAACAAAAAGCTCCGACTGCGTTCTGTCTATGGCCTCCGTTATTCAACAACCCCAACATGAAAAAGTTTTTCACAGGGATGAAAAGAAAAGCGGAGAGAGACAAAGATAATGAGACAAACAGAAATCAACCGAAAGCTAAGAAGAGGAAATACGACGAAGCGTATTTAGCGCTTGGCTTCACTGTGACTACAGTTGGAGAAGAGGAAAGACCGGTGTGTTTGCTGTGTCTAAAAATGCTCGCAGCGGACAGCATGAAGCCAAATAAATTAGCGCGTCACTTAAATACGTTACATCCCAATCACGCCGATAAGCCGCTAGAGTTTTTTCAGCGAAAAAAATGTTAATAAGGAAAAAATGTTATGCAGAGATGGATAGTCACGGTGGGGAGTGGGGGGCGCGAATAGTTTTCTTCTTGCTAGGGGGGCGTAACGGAAAATAATTGAGAAGCACTGCCCTAGGACAACTTCTTCATTGTCAAATGGAGATACCTGGTTGGTACTGGGATTAGTTTGGTCTTCGGTCTGGTTCTGTTCTCTAAACAGAAACTCTTCCCTTCCTGAGTGTTTGGAGTATGTAATCACAACATATGACATGAGACGATATTCACTTGATTCAAAGAGTGTGGATATTTTTCTGCCTCGGGTTCATTTCAAATGTAGTCTCTGTTTCA